CTGTCCTGTCGATGACATTGACAGTGGGGCGCCACCGTCAATACCGGATCGCTGGTTCAGATTTTTGCCATGTTGGAAACCATATAGTTGAACGATGGTAGCGCCCCCCTGTCATTGAGTTTGGCGGGACAGTTCAGCGTGGGTCATCTATAGTAGACTTTTTCGAAGCGTTTTTTAGTCTGTTCCCTGTAATGAAACAAACAAATCAACTTGATTCGATTTTTAAATTTTATTTTTAACTTTGTCATTTTAAAAGAAAAACGACATGAAAATGTAAAAACAGTTTCAGAAATCGAAAGTGAAGCTCTGGAAATAAAACTAATTGAAATAAAATAATCATAATTTTGTGAATACTAATAAAAAAATTAATTACTCCTTTACTAATAAAAAAAATACCTGAATCGTGTTGAACACCAGTTTGAGGCTGCGTTGCACCATCTTACTTAACTTTAACAAACATCAAAAATCTGTCAAACTCCTAACAAAAGAACACCAGTCATCGTTATAGTTACAGATAAAGTTAGGTGGTGCAACTCAGCCTTATAAGACTATCGCCCGTATTCACAAACATTACTATGAGGTCACACAGTGCGCGTGGACGCACAGGATCACACCAGTTACAGAGCTCTATTCAACGCTGTGGGTTCGATTTGCTGCTTCACTTAAGCAAACATCGTTTGTGAATACGGGCGTAAGTCACTTTAAACATGTTAAACACGCATCATAACTTTCAACTACGCCAAAACGTCGCAATGCTGAGTTTCAAGTCTCTTTTAATTCTGGCTCCAATAAATAAAAGTGGTGATTCTTTCGCAATCCATTGTGAGTGGAGAACGCGACGAAATCCCAGCTTTGTGTAGTAGCGGCAAAGAAAGAACCACTCGTTATGATAAGAAGATTGTAGCGCTAGTTTTTAAACTACAAAAGTAGCGCCGCATTCGTGTTTAAATAAAAAGCTTGAAACTTTTATGGAATAATAAAAGGTTCAGCTCAACCAACGCGTGTAATCACATCGGCGATGGCGATTGCGATGGCGATCTCTACGCGTGCGACTGAGGCCGCGACCAATGACAGGACGCGTTGATGTCAAATCGCCATCGCGCACGCAGGCTGCACGCGTTGGTTTGGTCGAACCTTATTTCATTCTTCATGCCCTAGGCTGGACATGCTTATGATTTTGTTGTATATTTCCAGTTTGGTGAAGATGTATGTAGACATCAATCATGATTCTCTGAAATAACCTCAAGGCTGAATTTTATTGACAGTTCCACCTTTTTTTATTTGGATGGAATGACAAAAAGGATTAGTAAAGAATCACAAGAACATAATGTAGTTTAATATTGATACATTTGTTTTGGTAGTTCATTAAATTAAAGCGCTTTCACATCTAGGCGATTTAGCAGCGCGACAAACGATTACGCCTTACGACTGCCTTCACATTATAAAAACGCCGCTGCCGCTATGCAGTCGCGCTACTAACGCCCTAATGTGAAATCGCTCAGAGTTGAAACGAGATATGGCGGTAAAATTGACGCAGGGGTTTTGGTTATTACCCATATCTAAACGATGTCAAACATACCACAATGTATGTTTAAGCTTTGGCGTGGCCCGGCATTCCCGGTCTGGCGTTATCCGCACTACCCTGAGTGACGGCGGTGACGTGCACATGCTGGACTCCAGGAGTTGACCTCCCAGTCGTGGTGGNCGTGGTCGACGGCTCCTCATAAAACTCATCGTAGTACTTCGGATCGGCTTCGATCCTTCTCCGTGACTCCAACGTCTTCACCATACGAATAATATCTTTTATATCCACGTCCAGTCTCACGATTTTCTCGTACATCCTCATATGCATGTGCAGAAAATAAACCTTTTTCCGAAACAGAATCAGAGTTGTGTATATGTACAGCTGCTGCCTCTTCAAATGTGTGAGCAGCGCGAAACAATACCCAATCCTGTACCTGTTCATTTCGTAGTACTTCTTCCTTAACAGTTGCGGGTGGATCAGCTTGTACCGTGTAGCGTGGATGAAGTGGTTCATAATTGTTATCATTCTGGTCCTCCATACCTTCTCCACTCGGTACCGCTCGTATCTTTTGCGAAAGTCTCGCCTCATCTGGTCAAACTTTCGCGTTATCAGTCCAAGGTCGTCATCACCTCGGTCAAAATTGGGCAGCCGAAGCGGTGGTTCATTTAGAATCCTTAGTACTTCGCGAACTCTTTTGTTAATTTTGAAGTCTTCCACTGTGAAATTGCTTCTGGGCCTCCTTCTAATGTTTTTAGCGTCTGGGCGCGCAGTGGTAGGTTTGAATAGTAAATCAGAGAAGTCTGTAGAGTTTAGTTCGTCATCGCTGTCGTAAATGGGTGTCGTCCATTTGAGTCGCTCCTTATCGATGTCGCCGATTGCATCTTTCACCATTCTTTCAGCATTGAAATCAAATATGTCTCGCCGGGAACTAACAAGTACCGCACTTACTGAAAGTAAGATAACATCAATAATTTCTAGAAAGAATTTTAATCATGATAAGTATTCATTAAAAAGGATCATTATGTCACTAAGAGATTCTACTTAATCTCTTCTATCTGATCCTGATCCAACAATAAAGGACATTAATGATGGACTTTGAAACAATGTTACAATATTACGAGTAAATCTAGATAATTCTAAATACCCAACTAAACTTACATGTCAAAATGAAAATTTGCAGCACGAAACACATTTCGCCCGATCATTATAATAAAACGATTAAATAGATTTTGTGAACAGTTTATACCGTAGTTATTTGATAACACAGCCAATTAAGTTTTAATGCCACTGAGCTATATTGCGGCGTAGTGAAGTAGACTCACTTCACACTTTTGGTTCTGTGAAGAGGAAATAAATGAAATTTTCCAATGAGCAACCCATAAAATTATCACTGCTCAAACTTCATGCCGTCTTAAGGATAAAAAATAATGTTCCAGTATGCCTCTACTCGATTGCGTTTAATCTAAAAAAACATACTGAAGTCCTACCTATATAAGAGAATAAGCTTAAGACTAAAATGGGGGCCTACTCTCTAGAAACTACGTGTATTTTAGCTGGTCATTGTAAATGAGTTTTGTTAGAGGTTTAGCTCGGTTCAGAGGGATCATTTTGAATGGGATTGTATGTGAAACATTTTCATCGTTTTGTAATTGCAGTTTGTCAATGATTTATTAGTATAATATATGACCTGACTCTGAGTTTATTTCATATTTTCCTTATTGTGCAAGATTCTTATGCATAAACAAAACAAAGCGAGGGGCTTGTATCGAAATGAAAATAATAAATTGGTTTCCCCATACTAAATTGCTGATCAGTCATCGTGGCTTACAATAAGGAAAAGTTATACAAACAATATTGGAGATAGGAATTCACTGCGTTTAGAACAACAGATCTCTCTTTAACGAAATAGCCTTACAGTAAGACCCGCAGTATAAAACGATGACAAAATTCGATCTTGCACTCGAGTCTAGAATCAAGTCTGTGGTCTACGGGATTCACATATTAGGTCAAAATATAAATCTAGGTCAAATTTAAGGCAAGAGACTCGTTGAATATCGAAACCCCAAAGCTACCATTTGATGAGAAGCTGTAACTGACGGCTGCAAAAATTAAATATCCTTCCTAACAAAAGGTAAACATAACCTAAAAAGGTTAGCCAGCTTAACCTAACCTAACCTAAAGGTTATGTTTACCTTTTATTAGGTTCTAAAGAAGTTTGAAGGTTCTAAAGAACCTTCCGCGAAAGAATACAAAACTTAAAACCGACGGAATTCAGAGGTAGAAAGAGAGTTTTAAAATCAATCCCAGAAAATTAAACCCGAAAAATTTGGCTCTCGATCGTAAACCCCGTTCGATTCGTAAAAGTCGACGGAATAAATAAAACACTGCATCCCATACATGGTAAGTTTATAGTGGTTTTACGACGTCAGTAAAATCAGGAAGGAACTATATTTAACTTCACTGACTCAAATACTGACCTAATGAAAATTACCTTTAGCTCGGAAATGCAGCAACTCCCTCGAGGCTGTGGGTATCTATGGGCGACGGTAATAATAAACCATCAGGTGAACTATCTGCTCGTTTGCCTCCTGTCACATAAAAAAATCAGGATCTACTGTTTGACTGCCAAAAATAGTTAAAGCCAATGGGCAAATTCGGTTGCTACTGAGTCAGTAGCAACAGAATAATGTCAAAAATGTGTGCACCTTTTGTCGCTGGCTGTACCACGTACAAATTTCTAGTAGCTGTGGCAGGAATGATGTATTGGCCCATCAATCATCCAGTTATGAACTCTAAGGAAGTTTCAATGAAAGTTTAAAAATTAATTGCGTTAGAAATTGTTATTTAACGAAAACGAAGAAAAAGTACCACAAGATTGAGTGATTATAAATTAGATGTTTTAGGCCAGTAGAATTAAACACAAAAATTGATTAAATCGGAAATAATTCCTACAAAAGATCTTTTTGCTTTAATGGCTTCATTGGTTGCCCATTAAGACTCTCCTAAGTTTTCGACTTCGACGGAGTTGTGCTTAAGTGGTGGGGGCCCCCGAAAGGGGCGTTTTTTCGGCTTTCCGGTTACACCGCGTAAAGGACTTACCCTATCGAAAAGTGGTCTTCATGACGGTTAAAGAGCACTTAATCCTGCATTGAATAAGACTAAATTCATATGTTTTGGACAAACCGTTCTCGCGCTAAAGTTCGGCAAAGTAGAAAATATACGTATAATTAATGACCCTCTCCACGTCCAATGGCTTGTTACCCACATGCTTCCAAGCCTTGTAAAGGGTCGCCTTAACCAGTGTAACCCTAACAAGGCTCACGAGTTTGATTCGCTTATCCTTGTTCGTCCCAGCCGTTCCTTAACTGCGGTTGCTGCACCTCTTCCTGGCACTCTCCTGAACGACTCTGTGTTACCTAAGGGGTTTTGGTTATTACCCATATCTAAACGATGTCAAACATACCACAATGTATGTTTAAGCTTTGGCGTGGCCCGGCATTCCCGGTCTGGCGTTATCCGCACTACCCTGAGTGACGGCGGTGACGTGCACATGCTGGACTCCAGGAGTTGACCTCCCAGTCGTGGTGGACGGCTCCTCGTAAAACTCATCGTAGTACTTCGGATCAGCTTCGATCCTTCTGCGTGACTCCAACGTCTTCACCATACGAATAATATCTTTTATATCCACGTCCAGTCTCACGATTTTCTCGTACATCCTCATATGCATGTGCAGAAAATAAACCTTTTTCCGAAACAGAATCAGAGTTGTGTATATGTACAGCTGCTGCCTCTTCAAATGTGTGAGCAGCGCGAAACAATACCCGATCCTGTACCTGTTCATTTCGTAGTACTTCTTCCTTAACAGTTGCGGGTGGATCAGCTTGTACCGTGTAGCGTGGATGAAGTGGTTCATAATTGTTATCATTCTGGTCCTCCATACCTTCTCCACTCGGTACCGCTCGTATCTTTTGCGAAAGTCTCGCCTCATCTGGTCAAACTTTCGCGTTATCAGTCCAAGGTCGTCATCACCTCGGTCAAAATTGGGCAGCCGAAGCGGTGGTTCATTTAGGATCCTTAGAACTTCGCGAACTCTTTTATTAATTTTGAAGTCTTCCACAGTAAAATTGCTTCTGGGCCTCCTTCGAATGTTTTTAGCGTCTGGACGCGCAGTGGTAGGTATGAATAGTAAATCAGAGAGGTCCGTAGAGTTTAGTTCGTCATCGCTGTCGTAAATGGGTGTCGTCCATTTGAGTCGCTCCTTATCGATGTCGCCGATTGCATCTTTCACCATTCTTTCAGCATTGAAATCAAATATGTCTCGCCGGGAACTAACAAGTACCGCACTTACTGAAAGTAAGATAACATCAATAATTTCTAGAAAGAATTTTAATCATGATAAGTATTCATTAAAAAGGATCATTATATCACTAAGAGATTCTACTTAATCTCTTCTATCTGATCCTGATCCAGCAATAAAGGACATTAATGATGGACTTTGAAACAATGTTACAATATTACGAGTAAATCTAGATAATTCTAAATACCCAACTAAACTTACATGTCAAAATGAAAATTTGCAGCACGAAACACATTTCGCCCGATCATTATAATAAAACGATTAAACAGATTTTGTGAACAGTTTATACCGTAGTTATTTGATAACACAGCCAATTAAGTTTTAATGCTACTGAGCTAGTGCGGTTTAGTGAAGTATACTCATTTCAAATGTCTGTGTGTCTTCTGTGAAGAAAAAATAAATGAAATTTTCCAATGAGCAACCCATAAAATTATCACTGCTCAAACTTCATGCCGCCTTAAGAATAAAAAATAATGTTCCAGTATGCCTCTACTCGATTGCGTTTAATCTAAAAAAACATACTGAACAACTGCATTGTATAGTCGGAACTGTTTTGTTATGGCCACAGTCGTATTTAATAAATTACCAGCTCAACTGAGAGAGCTTAATGGATCATTATTTAATAGAAAATTATTTAATTTATTAGTTGACAAATGTTTTTACTCGGTAAAAGATTATCTGACATATAAATTCTAGTGGTTAATACCTATTGTTTGTCGTATGTATTCTGTGGTACTAATATGAATCTGACATTAATTAAAATCAATCTTGACTGTATTCGAATAACTGACGTATATTTACTGACATTATCTTTATTGACATATTGTAATTCAAATAATTTATTTGTTCTTTGTTTGTAGTTGGAATGTTCTGATTTTTTTACTATGCATGGGTCAATAAAAAAAAATGTAATAACCACACACTAGCTTGCTGGTGAGATAAGCTGAACTGTATTAAACTATTGTAACATCTACCTTGTTGTATTACCTTGTCTCGGTGAATAAATGATCTTTATCTTTATCTTTATCTGAAGTCCTACCTACTTAAAGAGAATAAGCTTTAAAATGATTTGCAATAAAGACTAAAATGGGCCTACTCTCTAGAAACTACGTGTATTTTAGCTGGTCATTGTAAATGAGTTTTGATAGAGGTTTAGCTCGGTTCAGAGAGATCATTTTGGCTTTGAATTGTATGTGAAACATTGTCATCGTTTTGTAATTGTAGTTTGTCAGCTATTTATTGCATTGTTAACGCATTTGAGTCCATTTGACTCTGAACCTGTTTCATATTTTCCTTACTGTGCAAGATTCTTATGCATAAACAAAACAAAACGAGGGGCTTGTATCGAAATGAAAATAATAAATTTGTTTCGCCATACTAAATTGCCGATCAGTCATCGTGATTTGCAATAAGGAAAAGTTATACTAACAGTATTGGAGATAGGAATTCACCGCGTTTAGAACAACAGATCTCTCTATAGGGAAGTTGCCTTACAATAAGACCCGCAGTATAAAACGATGACAAAATTCCATCTTGCGCTCGAGTCTAGAATCAAGTCTGTGATCTACGGGATTCACACATTGTATTAGGTCAAAATCGAAATCTAGGTCAAATTTAAGGCAAGAGACTCGTTGAATATCGAAACCCCAAAGCTACCATTTGATGAGAAGCTGTGACTGAAGGCTGTGAAAACTAAATATCCTTCCTAACAAAAGGTAAACATAACCTAAAGGTTAGCTAGCTTAACCTAACCTAACCTAAAGGTTATGTTTACCTTTTATTAGGTTCTAAAGAAGTTTGAAGGTTCTAAAGAACCTTCCGCGAAAGAATACAAAACTTAAAACCGACGGAATTCAGAGGTAGAAAGAGAGTTTTAAAATCAATCCCAGAAAATTAAACCAGAAAAGCTTTGGCTCTCGATCGTAAACCCCGTTCGATCAGTAAAAGTCAACGGAATAAATAAAACACTGTATCCCATACGGATACGGATGTTTGCGGATTATCATACAGACGGGTTTAGCGCCATAATACGTAAGAAATCTGTATCCCTTATTACCAGGGTGCGAGCCAGTCACAACAGCATTCTGAGGACCCTAGCGGACAGATACACATCTCCGCTATGGAAGTGTCTTGTGCAGAGACTGATCACGGGGCCTTATCCACCCCCATGATGGTCCGTCTCTGCACAGGGTACAAGTTTTTGAATCTATAATTGTTTGTGTGTATGTTTATTTTCGAACCCGTTTAATATGGACTTTTAAAAAATTGTCTGAAATAAAGAATTTTTATTTTTATTTATTATTCATACATGGTAAGTTTATAGTGGTTTTACGACGTCAGTAAAATCAGGAAGGAACTATATTTAACTTTACTGACTCAAATACTGACCTAATGAAAATTACCTTTAGCTCGGAAATGCAGCAACTCCCTCGAGGCTGTAGGTATCTATGGGCGACGGTAATAATAAACCATCAGGTGAACTATCTGCTCGTTTGCCTCCTGTCACATAAAAAAATCAGGATCTACTGCTTGACTGCCAAAAATAGTTAAAGCCAATGGGCAAATTCTGTTGCTACTGAGTCAGTAGCAACAGAATAATGGCAACAAATGTGTGCACCTTTTGTCGCTGGCTGTACCACGTACAAATTTATAGTAGCTGTGGCAGGAATGATGTATTGGCCCATCAATCATCCAGTTATGAACTCTAAGGAAGTTTCAATGAAAGTTTAAAAATTAAATTGCGTTAGAAATTGTTATTTAACGAAAACGATGAAAAAGTACCGCAAGATTGAGTGATTATAAATTAGATGTTTTGTTATAAAGTAATAAAGTTGAGTAAGTAATTGTTCCACAAAAATAACAAAAATGACAACGTGCGTAATTGGGTATTCTAAAAAAAATTTTAAATTTAGATTAAAAATAAAATTACCAAGCAAGTTATGATCACTTCACCTACTGCCATTATTTGCAAACTATTTTAATGAATCAGGAAAATGAAAATTCCAAATTTTGGAAGCTTCTAATCACGTTGACGTTAAAAATACATATAAATAAAAGGTACTTGACCACGTTCATTAGGTAGGTACTTATTTTTTAGATATTTTCTTTACTTTTTAACTTGTATTCAAATTAAAAGTCTGCAATTTTGCAAAAAAAATGATGTGATATGCTTTTGATACGTCCAGCAGTAGTAGACTACAATTAATTGAAACGATAGAATCATAAATAACATAAACATAAATAACACACATAGGTACTTAGCTGTAAACAATTCAGTTACAGCCTTAACTTGTCTCTAAAGAAGTTTGTAACACAAATTATTATGTCTCCAGCCTAAAGGCATTTACCAAATTACTACTTGAGAGTGCGTAACTTACGTGATTAATGTCGCCCGAAACTTTTCTCGCGAACAGTGATAGAGTGGTTACACTAACAAATTGCTGTGGAGATTTAAGTTGTAGATTTCTTGAGGTTTCCCTTGATAGATTTTGTGTGTGTCACCAAATCGAGTATTGAAACTATTACTTAATACCATGAAAATATCTAAGGCTGGGTTGCAACCAAATTTTTCTTTTACTTTTAAAAACGTCAAAAATCTGTCAAACTCTATTCAAAATACACCTGTTATCGAAGTTACGGTTAAAGTTTGGTGGTGCAAGTCAGCCTATGTTTGCTTAAATTGTAGTTAGGTCTAAAATATTTTTTAATTAAACCAAAATAAGATGAATGAATTATTAACCAAAATAAGAAGAATGAAATACCTAAAACTTATTTCTAAAGTTTTATATTTTTATATTCATTATAAATGATAGGAAGAAAAGTCATTTAAAATAACTTTAGATACTTTTAGCACAGAATAACAATAAGTACTTTTAGACTTTGTGACGTGGTAAAATTTACCAAAAGGTTAACGTGCTCTAGGCAAAAAAAAAATGCGTCAGTAAAATTATTTCTCATGCATATTTCCCAAATTATCCGACTTATTTGGGAAATATGGACATGAAAATTTACTCCGGTAAATAATGTCCTACTTGAGGAACGTCACTAATTTATGATGACTATCCATCCATCTCTGTGTGAAAGGTGTTCTGCTTTTCTTACATAATAAATAGCCCTTAAGTCACATACCTTACGATGTGGGATGATCTCACGACGCCTTGGATTAATGGGGTATACCACCATTACCATACATAAACAAATATCCAGCGGCGCAGAATAATGCACCTAAATCACGCNACTTTGCCGAACATTAGCTCGAGAACGGTTTGTCCAACACATATGAATTTGGTCTTATTCAATGCAGGATTAAGTGCCCTTCAACCGTCATGAAGACCACTTTTTGATAGGGTAAGTCCTTTACGCGGTATAACCGGAAAACCGAAAAAATGCCCCTTTCGGGGGCCCCCACCACTTAAGCACAACTCCGTCGAAGTCGAAAACTTAGGAGAGTCTTAATAAGCAACCAATGAAGCCATTAAAACAATAAAATCTTTTGTAGGAATTATTTCCGATTTAAAAGCTAATTCTACTGGACTATTTTGTCATAAAGTAATAAAAGTAAGTAATTAACCACAAAAACAACAAAAATGACATTATAAAAAAATATTTAAATTTCGATTAAAAATATAATTACCAAGCAAGTTATGATAACTTTGTCTACCGCCATTATTTATTTGCAAACGATTTTAATAAACCAGGAAAAAGATCAAATTTTGGAAGCTTTTACGAGTAATCACGTTATGTTAGAAAATATTATAAATGCGAAAGCTTGCATGGACGTCTGGATGACTGGATGGTTAATCATGTTTGTTACTCTTTGACGCAAAAACTACTGAACGGATTTTGATGAAACTTTACAGTAGGATTGTTTATTACCTAAAATAACATAAAGGCTATGATTTATGACGATCTGTGACAAACTAAACTTCACGCAG